GCCTTCGCGGCGCTCGTCGGCGCCGCCGACGCCGACGACGCGGCCTGGCGGCTCGGCGACCTCGCGTCGGCGAAGGCGTGCGACGACGCGACGGCCGCGGCCGTCCTCGTGCACTGCTGCGGCGCGGAACCGCGCGCCAACGGCTTCTACGGCGCCGTGGCGTCCGCGCGGCGCGGCCGAGCCAAGGACTTTGGCTTCGGGCTGAAGCTCGCGTTCTGGGACGCGCTCCGCGCGCGGCCGCGGACGGGCGAGGCGCTCGTGGCCTCCGCGCGCCGCGCGACGAACCTGGGCAAGCTGCTCGGCGGGCTGCTGGGCCCGGACCTGGCACTCGGGGCGGCCCTGGGCCGCGTCGACGCCGACGCGCTGCGGGCGCCGGCGTGCTGCTTCCTCGTCGTCGCCGCGCTCCGCGCGCTCCTCGAGGCATCCGACGACGCGACGTTCGCGGCGGCGCTCCGGGCGCCGGGCGACGCGCCGAGCCTCGACGCGCTCTACGCCTTCGCGGACGCCAAGCTCCGGCCGTCGCCGGCGACGGCCGGCGACCCGGCGAAGGCGCGCGCCTGGGACGCGCGGCGCCGGCGCCTCGCCGCGTTCCTCCTCGACCCGGCGGCGCCCGCCGCCGAGACGAAGAAGAAGCAGAAGAAGAAGAAGCGCGCGTAAATTTAATTCCCCGCCGCCGCGGGGTCCCCGGCCGCCGCGAGGCGCCGCGCGTACTTGTTCCAGACGATGCCGTAGCGGAAGGGCGCGCCGCCCGCGGACGGGATTGTGCGCACGAGGTTGTGGTGCTTGAGGTAGGCGAGCTGCCGCTTCAGCGCCGTTTTGCTCGCGACGGCCGACCCGTCGGGCCACGACCCCTGGGCGGCGCCGACGCGGGCCCAGAGCTCGTCGACGGCGAGCGGCGCCCCGGCGTCGTCGATGACGGCGAGGACGTGCTGGTTCGGCGGCAGGCGGTCGTTGGGGCGCGTCGCGGGGGGCGCGTCGCTGAGGCGCCGCTGCGGGAGGCGCCGCAAAAGCGCGGCCGGTCGTCGGACGGCGAGGGGAGCGGCGCGGCGCGCGAGGAGGCTGGCCATCGTCGAGCTGGTGGTGCTTCGCCAGCCTCACCACACCAAGCTTGCGGCAATTCGGCCCGAGTCGAAGCCTTCGGCGGTCAGGAAGTGCGCGCGCGCGCCCGAAAGTGTCGTCCGCGCCGCCGTCCGCGCGCCTCTCGAGACCCTCTCCGCGCGCTCTCGCGCGCGCCGCCGCCCGACCCACGAACGCACCCGGCGCGCCGCCGCGGCGACCATGCCCGCCCAGCCGACGCGGACCCGCGAGTGCAAGGTCGTGCTCCTCGGGGACACGGGCGTGGGCAAGTCGAGCCTCGCGCAGCGCTACGTGACGAACACGTTCAAGCCCTACAGCGAGTCGACCATCGGCGCGTCCTTCATGAGCAAGATGATTTTGGTGGACGGCGCGCCGTGCAAGTGCCAGATCTGGGACACGGCGGGCCAGGAGAAGTACCACTCGCTCGCGCCCATGTACTACCGCGGCGCCGCCGCGGCGATCCTCGTCTTCGACATCACGAAGCCGGCGAGCCTCGACAAGCTCAAGGCCTGGGTCCGCGAGCTCCAGACGCAGGGCCCGGAGCGCCTCGCGCTCGCGATCGCGGGCAACAAGGCGGACCTCGCGGACCGGCGCGCCGTGCCCGCCGACGACGCCAAAGCCTTCGCCGCGGACATCGGCGCGCTCTACTGCGAGACGAGCGCCAAGGACGACACGAACGTGTCCCAGCTCTTCGCGGACCTCGTCCGCCGCGCGCCGGCCGGCGGCGCCGCGCGGACCGACGACGCCTTCGACCTCGGCCACGACGCCGCGCCGAGGCGAGGCTGCTGCCGCGGGTAATCATGTCGAACGGGCGTCGAGTTGCGTTCTTCGCATGTTGGCGTCGTCGTCGGGCCACTCGCCGAGTCCCCCGCGCGGACCCGCCACCTTGTGCTCGAACTCGAGTCGAATGCGCGTCGGTCCCGCGCCGAAAGGGCAGACTCGCGCCCCCATGCCCCTACCGACCCCCGCGCCACCCGCCCGGGCCCTCCAGCCCCGGCGATCGGACCAATGGAGCGCAGGCCAGCTCCTAGCAGCTTTAATCTCTGACTCCTTGACTATGAAGGCTAGCTTTGGTTTTCGACCCTCGCCGGGGGTCGACTTTCTGACGCCTCTGGACGCCATCGAGGCCGATTTCGCTTCGGTTTTGCTGTTTAGTTCCCTCGTCCGGACCTTCGTCCCGGGCCTGGAACGTCCAACTGTCCAAATCGGCCGCCGGGACGACGAGTTTCGCGTCATCGAAATTCGTATTTTTGGCGACGAGGGTCGAAAACCAACGCACCGGCAGGGTACCTGGGGGCGGGCCCCTGGGCGCGCCTGGCGGTTGTTCTCGCGCTGCCTTTTGGCTCGGCTGTGCGCCGGGTGTCTGCCGGAGCCCCCCAGAACCGGCAAACTGCAAACTGCGGGGGGTTGGCGCACCCACACGCACCAAACACCAATCGGAGACCTGGCTTGAGGCTGATGGGCTGCGCGATGGGGCGCGTCCTCCCGCATGGGTGACGCGCTCGAGCGCATCGTGCGCGAGTGCGCGGCGCAGGCCGCGCGCTCCGGGCGGCGGGTGACGCTGCGCGTGACGATCCGCGGGGCGGACGTCGGCGCGGCGGTGGAGTTCGAGACGGTGACGGTTGACGAGCGGGTCGGGGCTGCGCGGTGCGCGGCTGCTGCGCAGTGCGCGGCGC